ATGATTCCGACCATTTTATTGATTGAGATTTATTTTGATACGTTGTGCTTCGATTTTTTTCCATTTTTATATTTGTGCAAATTCTTGTAAGAAAATGGAGAGACCTAAGTTATACTACTTATTAAAGCTCAAAAGCGTTGTCGGGCCCTTGCTTTGAATATAATTTCACCGCCAATTCTCAGCCCAGCCTCTACACCCTTCCATACGGCCTGCAGTTATTCAGAAGTATGAGTAGGAGATCACATTTCTCTCCACGTACCGTGCGTCCAAAATACTCAATTTAGTAAAATTGATTTAGTAGTGTCTTGACTTAGAGAAAACGAAGGAAAAGAATGCTCATATGATTATTAGAAATAAATACAGCGATATAACAAAATTTGAAAAAACCACGACGATTTTAGACATGTAGTCAAAGAAATTTCTTAGAGCAAAGAAAATTCTACACCTTCAACTAAATGAACTGAAATGAGGAGAACTATAGAGACTGCTTTCTCGGCAATAACAAAGACAAGGCTGCATTTTATTGGCAATTTTATTCATGCAGTTAATAAAGCGGTAAAGAGGAAACTCTTATTATAGCATAGAATCGAAAAAAAATTTATTTAAAAGAATTTATTTCTTTAAAGCAGCGAATGATCTGTTGTTGACTCGTTGAATATTTAAGAGATGCAAAAACTTAATTAAGTTTTGCTTGTTCTTGTTTTAATTTCATTGTTTTCTTAAATTGATCAAAAATTTTTCTTATGAATTCCCGTTTCGTCTTTGCTGGCAACACTTAATAAAACCTCTACGCTGCCACGTTGGTCAAATATAATTTGTATATTTAATATGGTAACTCCAACAAGAAGATAATAAAACCAGTTTTTATGTAGATTTTTGTTTAGACGTGTTTTTCTTGTTAGAGCCTGTGATTATATGGTTTTCTCCGAAATAACTTGATCGAAATCCATTATTTATTAACGCCTACACAATATAACGGAATCGTGTGTAATAAGTATATAAAGTTATAATAATTATACCCAAAAATTATAAACCGTTGAAAAATTAACGCGCTTAATACAGCATTAATGACAGCTTATGGGATAATGAAAGGTTGAGACATATATGACATGACAACAACAAGAAGAAAAATATCTCTAAGATTTATTTTTAATACGTTCGTGAGTGTGTGCGTGTGTTTCTCATAAATGTTATATATTTGTTTTTTTTTTTTTTTTTGTTATTTGAATAAATCATTGTAGGAAAGAGGAAACGTGTGTAATAATAAATACCAGAAATAGAAATTGGAAATAATAAAACTTAAGGTACGAAGTTTCTTGTTACTTTATAGCACTTCGACGCGTTACAACTTTTGTTACAATAAAAACAGCAGGCAATAAAACCCTTACTTTCGTAGAAGAACGAAGAAATAGTTAAGAAGTAATGATGAACTTTTTATTAATTATTTGCTAGTATGTGTTCATTTTTGATTACATTTTTATTGTAATGAGTTATGTCTGAGTCTTATGTTATCTTAAACGGTTGTTGTTGTTTTTAAAACAATGATTATTATTATTGCTGCTCAATTTACTTGTTTGGTTGATTGTGTAGAGAGGTAACAACGAAGAGAACAAAAATTTAAAGTACAGTGTCAAGTTTCTCTTCATGTACAAGTGCGTAGAGCGAGGTGCGTGAATTGTTTGTGTTTTCTAAGATATAAAAATATCATAAAACCACTAAATAAATATAAATTAATTACACCATCTTAAATAAGAGTAATTATATAAAAAGAAAAAATTGTAAACAAAACGTTCTTACAAACTTAACGAAAACACACACACAAAACGTACGCTTTGGAAATCCTCATCTCTTCACTTCTAACACAGTATCTTAGTCATTTGCGTTTACAGTGGGTCAACCTTACTAAGGATTACGCAGAAAATTCATATATGTGAGACAGGTAAATACTATTGTGAAACGTATTTTAGTAAATTGAATTGTTTAGAAGCATTTCGGAATGGGAATGGGACGCTTTTGCGACCAGTAATTCCCAGGAATACGCATCAATAGGCTCTGTAAAGAATATGTACATATATTTTTTGTCCGTGGAAGATGTTGAAAAGATCTAGCTGAGAGGAGCTTTTGTGTATTGAGCCCTTTGAGTCTCTATCAAACAGAATTTTAATTAATCTAGATAGAAGATAATATTGAAAAAAATAGATTGATTTGACCGGTTTTACTGAACCATTTTTTTAACCAAAACCAGTTTATTATGGCCTTTAAAAAGGACATAAAAAAAAAGTTGTGCCGTTGCATCATATTCCCGTCCCAACATATGTTTTCTTTTGAATTCCCTATGCCGGCTCAAAATCTCCTGGTCTGCCTCCTGGTTGTGCGGTGGTAGATGCTACAGGACGGGTTCTTCTCAACCACATATTTCACGAAAGTACTTCAACTTTCATAACCGAAGCCAGAGCTACCCTTCACGCTGCCAACCTTGCCCATAAAAACGAACTCAAAACCGTCATTGTTACTGGCAGTTTGTAAGGGTGTGAAGTTATATTTAAATATAACTAGCAAAGACACAAACTAAAATTTTTTACAGAGCTCTGTAAAGCCGTTAACAGAATTCTGTTAAACGAAGTCTCGGAGCGATTTAACTCAAAATACAAGTAAAATAGAAGTTTTCGCAAATTTTTTTGCAAATTCTTATAAACAAAACATGATTTTATGTAAATTAACTAATATTCGAAACCAAAACTTTTTTACACTATGCCATAAATGAGGTTGATAAAGCGAATGTTTACGGAGCTACTGTGACCAAACCATATCCCTTGAAAAAATGAAACCAGCAGAGAGTGAATCCTCTATTAATAGCCTTTCCAACGATGTGCGGGTTGTATTAAGT